TTTGAATGAATTATAGCATGTATTTCAATTAATTATCGATCGATCGTTTGAGAGAGAGAGATGACAGTTGTGTGTACCTGCGTTCTGCGTCTGCGCGTCTCTCTGTACAAACAATTACTTAAAAAACAGCGATTTTACCACCTCGTTGCTGAGGAATATAATGTAGCGATCTAGTATCTAGGCTATTTTATTAATGAAAATCACGGGGAAGCGTTGACAAGTTTGTGTGTGTGTGATCAGCGATCTCTGACCTCTCTCTCTCTCTCTGTGTGTGTGTGTGTGTGCGCGAGTAATGCGTGTTGGTTAATGTGCATCAATTAAAGCAGGGCATTAATATGAAACGGTGATTAAACTGACTTGGAACTACCTGTGCATTAAACGGTTTTAGATTTAAAGCATATCTTGCTGATTTGCATTATAAAAGCAAAATTATGCTTTTAATTTAAGGTCCAATTCTCTCTATTAACTAACTATTAACTACAACTTTTGCCTCAATAAACTCCTAATTACTGCTTATTAATAGTTTGTATGGCAGTTGTTAAGTTTTGGTATTGGGTAGGATTATGGATGTATAATATGGTCATGCAGAATATGTGCTAACAAATACTGAGACGTTTCTCAAAATCCTTTTTGTGTTCTGTCGAAGAAAGGAACTCATACAATTTTGGAACCATGTAAAGTTGAACAAATGATGCCAACTTTCAATTTTTGGTAAACATTATGCTGTAAGTTTTGAGGAAAAATTGGCTACGTAAGACATTTTGCAACACTCTTCGGGCTCAGAGAAGTGTATAAAGTTCATGAAGTGTGAATGACCCATGATCTCTTCTGAATGGAACACAATGTCCAAGTCGCCCCATTTGTGAGGTAAAGGACTAGTGATCCACATGTGGCCAAATCAGGGCCTACGCTAGTAGCAGCCAATCAAAGAGATAAGACAAAACCAATAAGAAAAGCGCTGCCAAAAGGGTCATAACTCTCTCATGCAACACGATATGCGGCATCTGACTGTAAAACTTTTCATTTCCTTCCCCCATTCAGAGTGCTTTGAAGTCAACATTATAAAGCAGTACGGGAAGTGCTGGACTGGAACATTTAAGACGTTTTGATGCCACTACTTCCAATACGGTGCTTTGCGTCTTATGTAATTACGTATTGCAACAATGTCTAAATGGGTCAAATTTACAAAAAAACCATTCAAAGCAATAAAACAGTTTACAAGATATCTAAAACGGTGGCCCTTCCGAAATGTAGTGTTCTACCTTGCTGTATAGTCATCAGCTCATTATTGTTTCAATAGGTTAGCATGTTGCTAAGCTAACAATACAATACTCTTAAGCATAAAAAATACACACAACTAATAGTCCTTTATAATTAGACTGAGCTATTAGCAATATCTGAAGTATATATATTCTCCTTACTTTGTTCGCCATCTTGAATGGATTTTGAGTTTGGCGCAATGCATTCTGGGATTGCCTTCTCTGCTAGGGATACATGTGAGGCTGCCTTTGAATTACTCAAAAGAAGGTATTTTAGTAGACATCATGATTATGCTCCTTATCTTTAGGAATAGCTATCCCTTTTGGAGTGTACTAAAATTGCTGTCTACTTAGGGAGCTCAATAGATTTTGGAACAGAGCCAATGTTTGTCATACACTGAAATGGCTGTTAGGTCCTTCATAAAGGATCAAGGCTCCAATTATACAAGTTGCAACGGATAAATAGGAGACGTGTTTTTACATAATTATTCTGTAATATTTCGTGCCATCTTAATGTTTTAAATTAATGACTGTGTGCATAAGTGGCACAACCCATCGACATAATCCAGAATCTATTCACACTTATACAATCACACTGATACGTCCAGACAGGACAGTGTTGAGATGTGTGTCAGTATTACAAAGAACAAAACCCATGGGCGGTACTAAAGCAGGATCATCTTTATTGGGGATAAATTGTCTGTGTACGCAAAGTCATTCATTCAATAGCCCTCTCACATCTAATATTTATTATTGTCTTGGGAAGCTCTTAACTACTGCATTAGAGTTTTTGCTCTTTTATGTTTTTCAATTACTTACATGCATTACACATTCTTTGTTCAGTTATTAAGTTAATGACTTTACAATAACACAATCATTTCAGTTAGAGATTTCTTTATAAAAGATTATCATATTGCAATCATATTCTATATAAATGTGCTACATACAAACTTTCAAACCAACTGAATCACTTTGAATCGCTTGAATCGTCATTATATAAAAATACAGTACTGCAGAATGCTTTCTTCTTGATGGATTTGTTTCTTACAAACACGCAGCTTTTGGCTTCACACGACATTAAGTCTGGAGTGGATTACTTGTGGATTATTGTGATGTTTTTATCAGTGTTTGGACTCTCATTCTGACGGCACCCATTCACTGCAGAGCATCCGCTGGTGAGCAAGTGACGTAATGCTACATTTCTACAAATCTGATGAAGAAACAAACTCATCTCCATCTGGGATGGCCCGAGGGTGAGAAATTTTCTGCAGATTTTCATTTTTAGTTAACTGTTCCTTTTATCTGGCATTATTAAGGGGAGTTTTAAGATTTTTAATTTTTCAGCACTCTTAACATGGATCATTTACTTATCATTGTTAAATTACTTGAGTGGTTGCATTCATTAATGCAATTTGACAAAATAAATACATTTAGAAAGATTACTTTTTTTCAGGTAACTAGTAAAGAAACACATTACTTTTTAATTTAAAAAAAATACAAATATCCTTTAAGTATTTAATCTCAATTTATTAACCAATGTCTAAAGTAAGAGTGTTGAACTTTCTTCTCTTGCATCCTATTCTTCCACAATCCAGAATGGCAGCACAGCTGAAAGGTTTGTTTGAACTGTGCCCTTTACTCATTTTACTTTTAGTATGAAAGCACTTTTACATTTGCCAAAAATAGAACTTTTTATGTGAAAAACGAACAAGCAAGTCCTGCCCAAATAAGAACAATAATGCAAAAGTAATGTAACACATTGCTTCCTATAAAAGTAAGTAATGCAGTTAGTTACTTTTTAGGGAGTAACGCAATACTGTAATGCCTTACTTTCCATAAAAAGTAAGTAATGCAATTAGTTACATTTTAGGGAATAATACAATATTGTAATGCCTTACTTTCCATAAAAAGTAATTAAGTAATGCAATTAGACACATATTTTTATGAAGTAACACAATATTGTAATGCATTAGTTTTTCTATAAAAAGTAACTAAATAATGCAATTAGTTAAATTTTTAGGGAGTAACGCAATATTGTAATGCATTACTTTAATAAAAGTAACTAAGTAATCCAATTACTTACTCTTTTAGGGAGTAACGCAATATTGTAATGCATTACTTTCATAAAAGTAACTAAGTAATCCAATTACTTGCCTTTTTAGGGAGTAACGCAATATTGTAAAAGTAACTAAGTAATCCAATTACTTACTTTTTCAGGGAGTAACGCAATATTGTAAGTAACTAAGTAATCCAATTACTTGCTTTTTTAGGGAGTAACGCAATATTGTAATGCATTACTTTCATAAAAGTAACTAAGTAATCCAATTACTTACTTTTTTAGGGAGTAACGCAATATTGTAATGCATTACTTTCATAAAAGTAACTAAGTAATCCAATTACTTGCTTTTTTAGGGAGTAACGCAATATTGTAATGCATTACTTTCCATGAAAAGTAAATAAGTAATGCATTTAGTTACTTCTTAGGGAGTAATGCTATATTGTAATGCATTACTTTTAAAAGGAGCTTACCCCAACACTGTTTAAAAACTGTCATTATCTTTGTATTAGATCTTGTGCTGTTACACCTAAATTGTGCTAAATTTGTCCATATAGCTTTACAATTTCAGATTTCTTGCTTTCACTAAATATCTTGGTTGTGATCACACTTTAAAGGAGGTGGTGGTAGCTCAAAGAGCATAAAATAAACTGACTAGACTAGCCTCATTTTGACAAGATCCCTGATCAAAGTCAGCAGTCTACGTGACGCAGCTGATGGTTTTAATTGAGGTCAGATTAAGTACACGCCAGTCTATCTATCCAAGCTGCAGGTGGATGGCTCTAGGTGGCCATTTTGAAGGCAACATGACAAGCTGTCACAGCACAATGGCAGCCGTGTTTCAAGACCACAGTGGACCAGTAAGCCGAGTACTGATATTCAGCACTCTCAGCCATTCCCGCAAGATCAGATATAGCTCCAAAGTAAACTGACGTGAAAACACGAGAATGCTTGTCTCAAGTTCTAAGGAAATAATGGAGCAAAGCGATGGAGGGATGCGTAAACAAACCGGCAGTAAATGGATGTATCCACTAACACTGTGTGGGAATTTCACTGGAAAGAGCTAATAAGCAAGGACATTACAAACAAAGAAAAACAAAGGCCAAGATCTGCTCAGGTTTCAGAGCTCTCACTGGGAATGTTCTTCAGAGAACAGGTGCTCAAAGGAAGCTTTAATCTTCTATCAAACCTTTCCAAATAAACTGTCTGGCTCAATGGGAGCTGTTAAAATAATGTTACAGTGATGTAAGCGATATATTCTGTATGCCAGATCAGCATTCATAATAGGCTCTGAGACATGGGACAAAAAACTTGCCATGCCTACAAATGTCCACTTTGAAATGAATCAGAGATGATCACTTGAATGTTCTTATTACAAATGATTTTCTCCTTATTTTAATCAGAATTATAAAAGTTGCATGTATCAATGACTATAGACGTTTTGTTTTAGCTGAAAACGGGGTTGTGTAAACGCCCCCTTATTTTATTCAAATTTATGATTTCTGTCGCACTTCCAATATTTTATATTAAATATATTATTTATTTATTTTTATGAACTTACAAAGGAACAAAAATGTGTTTGTCACTCAGATGTCAGATGTCTGCCACTGTATATGTTTTTATTTATTTATTTTATTTTCTCAATAATTAACTTTTCTTTTTTTTTTTCTTTTTTTTGGGAAGGTTACATAATTCGGACTTATTAAGTTGTCTGACATCATTAGGTCACATTTCCAGCCACATCAAAGAAAACGAAAAACGATTTTTTTTCTATATACCTTATATATCTTGGCAAGTTTTTAATAGTAATATTTCATGTCAGTAATTCATTTCCTCTTTCATATTTTCATTTTGACATAACACAATCATGTCCTTCTGTGGCACTGCTATCCTAATACCCCAGTTCCTGTGAAATTAGATTTCTTGCCAGATGTGGTTTTATTCGGGTTTATGTTTCAGCGCGTAACTTTTCTATAAGCTCTTATTAAACTAGTGCATGTTTTCAGAATTTACCTGTTCAGCCTAGTCTTAACGGCGTGAAAAACCTAAGGTTTCCAAACGAAAGGTTGGCATGAGCCCAGCTGAACCTCAACAACGTTTGATCATGTTGATTTTTAGGGAGGACCTGCTAATAAAGCATAAAACGTGCTTGTGCAATAATATTGTCATTGTCACTTTCAATTGATGCTTGAATGCTTTATTTCACAGATTTGGTCGTTCTTCTTGTGAGCAGAAAATGCAACTAGTGTGAGAGCTGTGCTGTAACGTTTGTGTTCTGAACAGAAGATCTTTAAAAGAATAGCTCACTCAAAAATGAAATTTTACAGGAAATGTGTTTACCCTCAGGCCATCCGAGATGAGTTTGTTTCTTCATCAGATTTGGAGAAATGTAGCATTGCATTACTTGCTCACCAGTGGATGTGAATGGGTGCCGTCAGAATGAGAGTCCAAACAGCTGATAAAAACAATGATCCACAAGCAATCCACACCACTCCAGTCCATCAGTTAACATCTTGAGAAGACAAAAGCTGTGCATTTGTAAGAAACAAATCAAAATAAAGTTTTTAACTTCAATTCATTGTTCCGGTTAAAATACAAGTCGCTTCCTCCAGTGAAAAAAATCCATCTCCTGTTGTCTTCTCTCATCAAAATCCATCAACATATTCGTTTAGAGCCGTTTTGAACTTATTTCGCTTGTAAACTGTGTTTGATCAGTGCAGATTTCTCTCCTGATTCAGGTGAGACGACTTTTCTCTGGAGAAAGCATTATTATGGATAGAGGACTTGTTTGAAGTAAGTGTATAAATGTCTAATGATGGATTTGTTTCTTACAAACACACAACGTTTGGTTTCACACGATGTTAACTGATGGACTGGAGTGGTGTGGATTACATGTGGATTACTGTGATGTTTTTATCAGCTGTTTGGACTCTCATTCTGACGGCACCCATTCACATCCATTGGTGAGCAAGTGATGTAATCATCAACAGTCAACAGCTTCAACATTCATCAAAATATCTCATTGTGAGTTAAAGAAAATGTTACAGGGTAGGTACAACATGAGGAATGCACTATCCATTGCTTAGCCTCCAAATAGAAAATACACAATTGTGGGACAATATTTTAAACTCATGAATTGTTCCATTTACCAATATTGATATTGCCTTGATGTAAATAGGTCCATAAGAGCAGCCATGTAGACGCATTAATGTCATTGTAATCTTTGAGATTAGACAGGCTTTAATAACCGCATCACTTTCCGATAACACATTAGCAATTGCAATTAAGTTTCTCCTTTCCCACGCAGCTGAGACAGAGCCGACCCATGCAGGCACTCGCTTTGACAAGAAGCAGCCCGTTTAGGAGCGTTAACTCCAGAGAAACTGTGATTATGACGCATATGAAGCTTTGTATCTGTATGTTTTGGTTCTTTATTTGTACGGTGTGAGGTCTTTGAAACCCGCTTTGTCGTCATGCATGTTTGAAGTCCACTTGTTTTAGCGACGACTGAAAATGCCAAGCTCAATTTTTTTCTCTGAATAAAGCAACCTAAAGCATGCGACGACTGAGCAAATAAACACCCTTCTCAGCAAATACAGTGAGATGCAATCGTATGCATTTTTAAAAGTCACGCCAGTGATTGCTACTCTGTGCATTTGATTGGAAAAGCTTCCCTCATTTAGAGAAGACAGATCTATTTAGTGTTTTATTGTGCACAGTAAAAGATTTAGACAGTGAAAGCACAAAGTATTGTGGAAAACACTCTGGAAAAGAAATAGTTTAGCAAAAATGAACATTTGCTGAAAATGTACTCACATTCAGGCCATCCGAGATGTAGACGAGTGTGTTTTTTCATCAGATTTGGAGAAATGTAGCATTACATCACTTGCTCACCAATGGATGTGGATGGGTGCCGTCAGAATGAGAGTCCAAACAGCTGATTTTTATTGATCTATTATAGAATTTATTAATTTAAGTTTGTCATTTTGTCAAATTAATTCATTTTTAAAAATAATTTACAAAAAATATTAATTTTTATTCTCTATTTAAAATATATATATTTATTTCTATTTCTTTATTTTTATTTCCATATTAATTTGAGCAATTTTAGTACTTACACTTATGTTATTTCAGTTAGTTGCCAAGACAACATCTATCATTTTTACTTTCCTACAAATCGTATTGTATGAATTTGTACGAAATTGCGACTTTGTGACCTAATTTTTCTCAATACCAGTTTATTTCTCTCAACTGTGACTTTAAATCTCACAATTCTGAACGAGACTATAAGTATTATTTCAAACTTGATCTCATTCTTCAGATTTGGAGAAATGTAGCATTACATCACTTGCTCACCAATGGATGTGGATGGGTGCCGTCAGAATGAGAGTCCAAACAGCTGATAAAAACATCACAATAATCCACAAGTAATCCACACCACTCCAGTCCATCAGTTAATGTCTTGTGAAGCCAAAAGATGCGTGTTTGTAAGAAACAAAATATCGTTGAGACGTTTTAACTTTAAACCACTGATTCTGGTTCAAATACGAGCTTGGGTTATGTGCTGTTTCATGTAGAGTTATTTATATACTATTATAGAATTTATTAATTTAAGTTTCAGTCATTTTGTCAAATTAATTCATTTTTAAAAATAATTTTGAAAAAATATTTATTTTTATTCTCTATTTAATAATATATATATATATATATATATATAATTAACATCTATCATTTTTACTTTCCTACAAACCGCTTTGTATGAATTTGTACGAAATTGCGACTTCATTTTTCTCAATACCAGTTTATTTCTCTCTGTGACTTTAAATCTCACAATTCTGAACGAGACTATAAGTATTATTTCAAACTTTATCTCACATTTTTCTGTTTTAGTTTTGAATCTAATAGTCGAGAGTAGAAAGCATAGTAGAAAGCAGCTTTGAATCAAAATGTATAACAAGTAATAGATAGATATATAATACAGGATAGATGGGAATATCCATTTTAATTCACAAGGAAGTTGGCATAAGGATCTTGGCATAGTGTATTCACTCACTTTTGTTTTGTTGTGGGTTTCTTGTCGCTGTGGCTGCATGACTAACGCTGTAAATGAGACACAAATTACACTGCTACTGTATGACATGTGTTCAATTACTGAGTTCATCCACGCGAGTCACTGTTGATTTAATGACAAAGGAGTTCACATTGTGTGTATTAATCAGAACTGCCCTATGATGTGATGTGCTTCATTCTCCCAGAGTTTCCAGGATGCCTAACCACCTCCTGTACATTTTATCAACTTCCTGACATCAAATCCTTTGCAAACATCCTCTCATGAGCAACTGAGGATCAGCGCTTAGGGGAAAAGGCCCAGCATTATGCCCTGGATCTGTCTGACCCACAAAAACCCGAGACATGGTAAGATCCCTGACTTAACACGC